CCAAGTCTTTATAAACATGACCATCAGGCGCTTGATGAGTCTGCAAGTGAAACACTGGCTGGCCCAATGAATTAAACACACACACGCAAACTTTTCTTTTTACTGTCTCATTCGTCTTTGCTGTGTGTTCACTGTCACACTTACAGAGCAGAAGAAGCAGGTGAAATGCCTGTGTCCAAGCATGAAAAAGGTTTTGATCTGGGACAATGGCATTTTCTCGAGGAATGTGTAAACACCAATGATGAACCGTGAGGAGAAAAAAATCCAGACCAGCATAAGGGAAGTAGGATCTGGAGAGAGTTAAAATAACACATTGCCAGTGTACTATTTGAAACATATCTAGAGTTATTTATCATTTGCCATCCAGGTCATTAATTCTGATTCTCAGTCACAGAAGTATCGGACTAATTCTTTTTTAAATTTAAAATTACTATATTTTCTTTTCAGCCAGGTAAAATCTTCTAGTTCTGAAGGCAAATCAAGTAACAATTATCGTATTTACATATATTTTCCCCTCTCAAGCAGTACTCATAAAATTAATTCAGATTTTGGAAGCTATCCATTTTTTTAAATTTAATTTTAATTATATAGATGAAAATGGCAATTAAAAATCCCACAACAACCCCGTATGTTCAAAGACATGGAGACAGCTGAATCACACTTGTAAATAACAACTGGCTCCTGTACACAGCCCTGCGAGGCCCGGGAGTGGCTGGGGGAGCAGAGCTGCACGGATGAGTTCTAGGAGCTTGGGAACAATCAGGGCACATTAGAAAAGTTTAAATGTCAAGTTGAAAAAAATAGAGGACAGCAGGCACAGTAGAATGAAACGTTTATGGGACATTACTCGGGGATGAGAAATAATGTGTATTCTTCAAATGACATTCAGCGAGTCCAGTGCCAGCAGCTACCTGTCCAGCATAAGGAAAGGCATGGAGGTTACGGCGTGCTGACCGGGATTATCTAGTAATACAGGAAAAATCATTTCAGCTGCAAATGAGAGCTGAATGTGTTCTACAAACCAGAAGTTCCCAATTTGTTGTTGGGTTCATTCTCATTTTCTACTAGCATTTAAGTGAATGTCCTCCAGTAAGAAGTTGATTTGGGGTTCAGACTGAGTTGGATCTCATCCTCCTCTGCACAAACAACCCAGTACCAGCAATATAGATGTGCTAATTCTTAACCCCAGCCTTGCACCGTACCCTGGAATAAAGTGAGCTGCTGGCTTATCTTAAACCAGGGTTCCTTGGGGCTCTCCCCACCTGCCTCTCGCCAAGACCGTTCATTAGGAGCTGGCCGTCGCGCTGTCTCACAGGGCAGTGTCCACGCCTCGTCTTCTACCCGGCTGGGGTTGGGAGCCCCTCTGCAGTGCTTTCAGGCCTGTGAGGTCCCAAGAGGTGTTGGCTGTGTTACCCTTCATATACTTGCAAGGATGCCCAAAGTTACTCAGCTTGCCCAGGAATATTAAGGCAGAGCAAAGACAAATAAACAAAAAACAAAAAACAAAAAAACAAAAAACAAACACACCTCTTTGGATTTTGCTTTTCAGCCCTGTCTTTGGCATTATAGACAGGCTCCCTATCATATGTTTCAATTACTAAAATCTCCCAAACCTCACGTTCTTTCACACATGGTCTAGAGACCTGTCAGGGTCTCTGGGTGCTTCTGCATTGCCTTTTTGCATGTTTGGTTTGGGATTCAGGGGTCCCCTGGGAGCCTTCGGGAAAGAGAGATACAGCTCCGGCTTTAGATCACGGAGTCTTGGCTTTGAACGGCCACCTGGAGCTTATCAATGCAACAGTTACTTGGCGCTAAGCTGGGGTTTCCTCCGACACTGAGGACCTGTGGTAAGGATGCGCCGGGCACACGGAGGGCGCTTGGTAACCCGCAGAGCTTAAGACTGTAGTGCAGCAGAGTCATCTCACAGCAGCCGGGACCAGGTCGGAAAAAAGAGGCCCCTTCTAGGTCCTTCCTTTAGGTCCCACCTCTAGGTGCCCTCACCTAGCCCACCCCTTGCAATTCTCCTTACTCCCCTCTCATCTCCCCAGGTCAACATCTTGTGGGCGCAGAACTGCCGACATCTGCTGTCACAGTCTTGTATAAATGTAGGTAAAAAGAACGGACACACCCCATCCTGGAATTACTTGACTTCGTCCCCTACACACACACACACACACACACACCCCCATAGATTCTTTTTTTTTTTTTTATCCTCACCTGAGGACATTTTTCCTTTTTTGTTGTTGTTGTTCAGGTAGAGTGGGAGGGAGAGAGAGAGAAAGAAAAACATTGATGTGAAAGGGACACATCGAGTGGCTGCCACCCGCACAACCAACCAGGGCCGGGGACAAACTGCAACTGAGGTATGAGCCCTTAGTGGGAACCGAACCCGGTCTCTCCGGACCGCAGGCCGATGCTCTAACCGCTGAGCCAAACTGGCCAGGGCCATAGATTCTTTTTTATTGGTTCCCTAAAATGTGTGCAGTCCTTTTAAGTCATCAAGATACAAACAAGCACAAGAAAAAAGTAACACTTAGCCAAGGACCGAGTTACCTGAGGTCACTTTATCACTAATCTCTTCACAGTTGTATATCCTGGATTCTTGAGGACCATGAAATTGGTTGGGAAGAGGCCTCTTTCTCACTTACTCCCTGCTTACATCCCTACAAAGCACCTACTCAATGCAGAGTACCTACTAACCCCTTTGAGGGTGCCACTGAGGTATTATTTTTTCTAATCAGAGCACAGGTCCCCCTCCTGCACTTGCTCCTTGGCTGCCTGTCCCAGCTCACATCTTGACTCTGGCGACTGCATCAGTCCCTGCATCTTACACAGTCCCCACCTGTCAGTGCGTTGGCTTTGTCTGGACCTTTTCAGTGTGAGAACCCGTCTCCAGCGGAGCTGAGTGTTCAACGCCTGTTAGAGACGCCCCAGTGCATCGGCTTACACAGACGGCGGTCTCCCACCAGAACTTCCCAGTAAGCTCCTCAACCACTTAGAAGAAAGGTCCTGACTCGAACATCTGGTCTGTTCATTTCTTGGTACACTCAGCCTTGCCAGAAATAATGGGCGAAGTCCCTTCACCTGATCCAGCTGTTTGATAGAACCGTAACAACTGTTTATGGACACTGAATGAAATTATTACCAGACACAAAACAACTAGACAGCATACGGAGGTCTCCCTTTAGTTTTACATTTTTGTCTGATGGTAGTTTTCCTTTAGAACAAAAAATTACACGATGAATAGCAATGGTGTGAGTGTATTTTTATTTTTACAGCACTATTCATTTTCTGTTCTCTAAGTGCTTAACAAATACTGTGGGTCTTCACTTCCTTCCGGGGTGAAAATAACAGTTATGCTCCCACGGAACTCATTCATTTGCTTTATGGGCTAAAAATTCTCTAGCATGTCACAAATTAACACGATGTTCCTGGGGACTGTGTTTTATTCTTGAATCTCCAATTTCACTAATAAATGTGAAAAACACATGTAGCCAGATAAGCCCCTGGAGACCAGCCACTGCAGATGCTGAAGAAAGCAAGTTATTTCAGCTAAGATCAGCATGCGCTTTCACAAATTCTCCCCCAATTGCTTGATGCATGGCAATGAAACTGGTTTCTAGTGACTACCCGGAAGAGCCAACAAAACAAGTTGTTTTTTTATATATAAAAAGGATATTGTCAAATAAATTAAGAATAAAAACCATAACATTTTTAATGATCCGATAATGACTGTTTTCTAGTCACAGCTCCAATGAATCCCCACTGTCTCCTCTGAGAGAGAGCTCTTATTCTTTTCCTTAATATTTTTATCATGAAAAATTTCAAACAAATAGAGAAAATACGGCATAAACCCAGATATACTCTGTCATTCCCATCTAATAATAAAAATTTTGCCACGCTTGTTTCATCCTCCCTTCCTCCCTTTCATCCTATTAAGGTTATTAAGCAACTCCCAGAAATGATGTCATTTTACCCCTATGTACTTCAGTATGAATTTCCAAAAACCTCGGACCTTTCTTATATAACCACGGGGCCATTGTCATACCTAACAAACAATATTTCTTTGGTATCATTTAATACCTGAACTGCATTCAGATTTCTCCGTCTTGAAAAATTGTTTGTAGTCGGTGTGCTTGGATGATCCAAGCAGGGGATAAGAGTTGGGTGTCCTGTCTCTGACGTCCCTCTCACCGGCACACGGCCACCTCCTTTTCCCCGCCATGCCATTGTCTTGCTGAGGAAAATTTTACAGGGCTCCTTGTGGGCTCCATCTCAATAGCTGCTTTCTTAATTTTTTTGTGTGTGTTTTGTGTGTGTGTGTGTGTGTGTGTGTGTGTCATTTGACTTGTTCCTCTATCCCATGTATTTTCTGGACACTTACTGGTTTGATTACGTTCAGGTTCATAGGTGGCACTGTGTATTTTCCATTGCCTCACATCAGGAGGCACCTGGTATCTGGCCAGCCCACCTTTAGTGGGTTGGGTTCAGCAGCCTGATTCGTCCACTGTGAAGTTCCCCATTAACATTTCTAATGGCCTAATGATTGACTCCATTGGTGACAGTTGTTCAAGTTGATTATTTGATCTGGGGGCTACAAAATTATGCTTTTCCAATTCTAACTTCCCTTTCACATTTAGTGGCTGGAATTCTCATGTGAAGAACTTTCCTTCGTCAACCAGTACAATCTGGTTATCCTCAAATACAATATGCACAGAAAAGGCAGGATCACTGCTTAATTCTTTCCTTTGCCAAGTTTCAGCATAAGGAACTGGTTACCTTAGTTACATCCTAGAGTAACTGAGTTGTTTCTGTTGTTTATATTATTCTTAAAGGTCCATGTGTCTTTACGTAAATAAAAAAACATCTCCCCATTAATAATCCTTCTTGAGTACAGAGAAGTGGATTTCTGATTTAAAGGGGTACACAATAGGTCGAGGGCATGGTCCCTGCCATCTTGCAGCACTCTCAGGAGAAAAGCCAGGCGCTGTTTCTCTCACCTGTTTTGTTAGCTGACTTGTCTTTACGGTTGATCTAGTCTTTCGTTAGGCTGAGCACTCCTTCTGCATTTAGTGATCCCTTAGGAAAATGAGAACAATTGTAAAATATCCTTTCTTTTGCTTACTGTGGCACAGATCACTTGGAGTCACTTGGCCCTATAGACTTCCACTTTCATATCATTTATTAGATACATCTGACGGCACCTCGAGCACGTGGAAGCAGTTGGGCAGAACTGCTCTCTTCAGAAAGACTAGCTGCGGTCATCTAAGCGGTACCAGTTTGAGCTTTGTCTGTGACCTATCAGGAAGCGGTTCCCACCCAGTGAAGTTGCAGGTGCCATCTGGATGGCCACACCCTGCTCCAGGATTGCAATGGTGACACATTAACATGCTGGGCAAGCTTCCGCTGGGGGGGGAAATCTGCATGTGCATGAGAAACAGCTCCCTTTTCTTCTTCTCACCAAGAAGGGTGAGGACATTTGGGTCATTCCTACGTATGCCCCACAGAGGAATTTATGTCTTCTTTCACGATGGCTGACATGTGTTTCTGAGACTGATAGGAATCCAGGAATCTTTTTTTGCTCTCTAAGAGCAGAGACATTTTCTGCCTGTATTGCCTTGTTTTACTGACAGGCATCTGCCAGTTAGACATTAAAACAGAGCGATAATGGGAAGATAATATGCAGCCTCTGTCCACACACTTCAAGAGGGAAGTACTCATAAAAAATGTGTATTTTGGGAAACCTAGATGCTGCCCATCTGCATTGCTGTTTAGTTTGAAATTCAGTGTAGGATCACAAAGCAGTGAGAAGAAAAATAACAGGAATGGAATCAGGGATCCTAAAAGGCTCTGCAGACCCAGCGTGGGCCGCTGCCGAGAGCAGGAGGGGACTGGGTTGGGGAGGGTTGGGGAGTGTACTCCAAAGCTCAAAGCAGGACGGAAGCATTTCTTTTCTGGTTTCACTGGAACCACTGAGAGCTGCTGAACCAAGGAACTGGCAGGAAACATCTATGACTCTATAAATGGAGGATTTTCACACATTCTGAAAGAGCACAAACACTCTCGTTTGAAACAGGTGAAAAGGGAAGGACACACTTTAAATAAATGAATAAAAGCAATTCAACTTCCACTGAGAATCCTTCTAGTACATAGTTCTCTGCCAGATACTGTTACTTAGATAGCTGGATCTCCAGTCATATTTTTGGCGAATGCAAATAAAAGCATATCTTCCAACATGCGCGCGCGCACACACACACACACACATACGCACACGCACTCACATGTGCCCTATATAATGCCATCTTTTATTTTCAATCCAATAAAACTTCAACTTATTCAACAAATGACTGTAATATAATGCCATCTGTATGCTAACAATTCACCATAAATCTTACCATCGTGGACTCAGCCATGAGCCTAGGGGCTACTGAAGTATGATCCGGATGACAAACTTTTACTATGAGTGCAACAGGGGAGAAAATATGTGCCACCATATCCAGTGGCAATAGTCAACTTGACAATGATAGAAGCCAGAAATCACTAGCCTCTCCAGTGAAAACAATTTTCTTTTTTTAAAAAACAAAATGGGGGAATGCTATTTGTTGCAGTGATTCAGCATGCGGGCTGTGGAAATGGACACATTTGGTTTGAATCCCAGCTTTTCCATCTATCAGTTATGTCTCCTCAAATTGGGGATAAAATGATGCCCAACCTCATATTTTAGGATTAAATGAAAATAATGCATATAAAGTACCTAGCACAGACCTTGGTGCATGGCAGATATTGCTAGCTGCAATGATTGTGAGAGGGCCACAGCAACTTCAAATACCACAAGGGTACACCATTGCTTTTGATATTGCTGCTCAAGCCAAAAGACATTTATCACAATACTGACACTAATATAGGAGAAAACACAGTACTTTGTGAAGCAGGGTGGCAGAGTGAAAAAAAACAGGAGCCTAAGAATAAGGTACATAGCTTTGGAAACTGTCTTTTGCCACCAGTTACTCAGGCTCAATCTTGGATAACTAATGTCTCTCCTGTCAATGTGCCCATCTGTAAAAAAGAAAAGTGACCTTCCTACAGAATCACTGCGCAATTAGCCCACAGCGTATGTAAAATATCTTGCCCAGTGGGTGCCCACTCAGTGGTATCTCTCATTATTATTAGAATATTAAGGCTCCAGAGAGGGACAGAGGTGAGCCTGATGAATCCTGCCACTAGAAGCTGTGATCCTGAACTGGGGTGAATGGACCAGAACGTACCGAAAAAACACTCGGGTGAAATTGAACACAAATAACCAGGCACACCTAAAGAAATTAAGTGTTACTGTAAGGTGAAGGGTGCAGAGAATATTATCTTAAAACACTACATCAATACAATACAGAATAGAATATTGTCTCCCTTTGTTTTTGCTAGAGGGCGAATGTGAGGCTATGAAGATCCGAGTAGGCTACTATACCTCTTTGTAACTTTCCCTTTATCCTCCCTGGGTTTGCCTCTGGGCCAGGTACCATTTTGGCCCCAGAATGAGGTAGCAACCCTGAAGCACTCAGCAGGATGAATACAGACGAATGAATGGTGGTGTTCTTTTCTGGGGAGGATGTTTCTTTGCACTTTCCTAACAATAAGGGGGAAACTGAAACTGAGTTTGTAATTCCACTTCCATCTGTTGATGTCAACATTCCTAGAACCGGGCACTCTCTTTATCTTATTTACACAGCACTCAGCACAGGGCCTACTTAGATGCTTACTAGGTAGCTTAGGGAGAAATCCATGTCCATTTAATAAAACAGGGAAGTGTGGAAGGGGAAATTTACAAGGTTTTGTCTATCTGGGTCATAAGGATCTGAACACTTGAAAGAGGTAGAAATACACTGCATCATGATTTTTATTAAGTTCGGTTTCAAGGGGAGATAAAATGTGTCCTGTCTGTTAGGAGAGAAAATGCAACTACAGCTCATCCATGATGACAGCGTATCTGTATGCAAACAAGGCATGCTGACTTCTCTAGCTTGGTCTGCTCATAAATTGGAGTCACTTTTTTTTTTTTTAAATCCTCACCTGAGGATAGTTTCCCATTGATTTTTTTTTTTTTTAGATAGAGTGGGGGGAGGGAGAGAGAGAGAGAGAGAGAGAGAGAGAGAGAGAGAGAGAGAGAAAGAGAGAAACATCAACGTGAGAGAGACATATGGTTACCTTTCGACTGGGGTGGGGCCAGGGATCGAACCCAAAAGCGAGGTATGAGTCCTTGACAGGTAATCAAACCCATGACTCTTCAGTCTATGGGCTGATTATCCAACCTCTGAGCCAGACTAGCCAGAGCTGGACTCACTTCTTAGATTTACAAATGAGGATCACCATGGTAAAATCAGTAACAGAATTTTTTGTTCTAAACATGGCTTCTCTTCAGTATCTTTTTAGAGCCCTTAAGTGGTTGTGATGTGCATGAAACTAAAAGCAGGCAGATTAAAAGTTATACAAATAATGAAGATAAGTTCCTAGGCAAATTACCCATTACTGTGCAGGTCTTGGGATATTTTCATTAAAAAGACTAAAAAGGCCATCTTTTTAGATGCTTGTGTATCTACAGATGATTGTATACTCATTCTCTTTATCTCTTTCCAACTCCCATAAGACTCTTTTATTAGTTTCAAGGAATAAAGCTCCAATCTGCTTGAATAAACTGTATTATTTTTTAACTACAGACCCATACACAGTTTCTTTACAGGAGCAATCTTCTTCAATGGCAATGCAGTCATTGGGAAGACTGCATTAAAAGGTGTACTTTATAGACCTTCCCTCTATCTTCTAGCCCCTCTCTACTTGAAAAAACACAAAACAAAAAAACCTTACCATACTATTAAGACTTTGCTTTGCACAAGTGCCTAGCATATAATAAGCACTTAAAAATATTTGTTGACTCATTGAATGAATATATAAACTCACTATCTGGACATCAAATTCTGGACCCAGGTTTAAAGTCACACAATCGTAGGGCTAATGCAGACCTCCCATTAGAAACACAATACCTTCTATATGACTTAACTTCTAAGCAGTCTAGTATCCCCTCTGATGTTTGATAGTTGTCTATATATATTTTTTCTTTTCTTTCTTTTTTAACTCTCACCTGAGGATATTTTTACATTTATCTTCAGACAGAGTTGGAGGGAGGGAGGGGGAGAGAGAGAGAAAGAGAGAGAGAGATAAACATCCATGTGAGAGAGACGCATCGACTGGTTGCACCCGCACAACCCCATCCGGGGCCAGGGATGAACTGAAACCAAGGTACATGCCCTTGGCTGGAATCGAACCTGGGTCTCTTTGGTCTGTGGGCCAAACTGGCCAGGGCAATTTTTTCTTGAATTTGAATAATGCTTATATTTATTACCAAACTTGAAAGCAGGCAATCCTAGCTATAGATCATTTAGGAAAATGAACAGGCAGACCATGAATTTGAACTCTTAAGCTAGAAATGGCTTGCAATTATCTCTGAAACCAAGAATTTCTAATTCCTCTCCCACCCATATGCATATGGTATCCTTAAATTGACATGGAGAGTATTGTTTAAAAAAATGAAAGGAAGAATAAATGTATGAATAAATGACTGTGAGTGGATAAAGACTCAAAATAGTCCAGAGGTAAAGCAATTTCCATTCTCTCCTCAACCTACGCCACTTTGACAGTGCGGGAAAGAAGGATCTCAGGCTCAAAGATCTTCTCATCCTGTGTACTCAGGCCCAGGTTCCTCATTTTCTGTGTGAGGCAGGAGCAGGGTGGAAGGTGCATGTTTCTGGTACCCAGATTTGGAAATCATGAATAGATTTTTCCCATTCAAGATAAAATGGCTAGTTCTAGTTGAAATGGCACCACTACTTCCATATTCAGAAACACTATTAGGTGATTGGGCTCTCATGAGCTACTGTCAGAATCTAACAATCACACAGTCAGGTTTTTAGTTGTCACAACATATCATATTTGCAAGCTGAGGAAGTCCAGTCATCCTGTTTCTGAATGATATCAACTAGCAAAACCACTGGAAACATCTACTATTGTAAAGAAAAATTTTCTTTTTTGCT